AACAATATCATTCCAATCAATTTTAATCCAATGAGAATTTTCATCCAATTTAATATTACTTTTATTTAACCCTTTAATAACTTTTATTCCATTTGAATCAATATCAATAAAACAAGGAACTTCTTCTAATCCATAAAGTTGTATACAATTAAACATTTCTTCAAATTCATCATACTCTAATTCAGAAATAACATCAATACTATCATTACTTTGTCTATTATTTTTCTCTTCTTTTTGTATTAAGTTTAGTTGAAGAGTTTTTCCTTTTGTTCCTTTTAAAATGTTATATCTTTCATTGAATCTATAATCTCTTACAATTCTTCTTCTTATACCAAATGAACTTTGGGTATCATCTATCATATACTCTTCAACATTTTCTTCCCAAATACCTTTTGGCATTATTAAATTAAGTTTCATTGTATTCCAAATAGTTATTAATTGAAGTTTTATTGAGAGGGGTTTATCATAAAGGTATTTTCTTTCTTTAATATATAGTTCTATTGCTTTTTGTCTTCTATTATCAATTTCTTTTAATCTATCATCTTGAGTTATAACAGATTTATGAATATCATCAACTTCATTTCCAATTTCTTTAAAAGCTAATGCTAATTGTTTGACAATAATTTCTTTTCTTTCTTCTTGTGTATTTCTAAAAGTTCTTATACTTTGATTTAATTGAAGACATAATGAACGTAATTCAACTATTTTATTCTCTACCCATAAGAAAACTTTATCAGAGTTCATTTGTAATAATGACTTAAATCCCTTCTTAAGATCTCTAGTTGGAAGTATTTTATTTAATATATTCATATAACTCATTGATATTCTTTTGAGAATACTAGAATATATTGGATTAATTTTTTTAACTTGACTATTGGTTATTTGAGTTAATATAATTGTTAAGAATGTTGTGACATATGTTTCAGAGTGTGGTTGACTAAAAAAGAAGTCTTGAAGATGAAATTGTTGTGCAGCAAATACAAAAGAGTCTTCAGTAATATTATCAAACATTAAAAGATTCATTCTGTCAATCATTTCTACCCAAATATTATTTTGGTCTTTTGAATGAATTTCTTTAAAGTCTATATAAATATTCATTAAGACATAAATACAATTAATGACTAAATGAAGACTTATATTCATTTGTTGTGAAATTGAAATATCTAATAAGAATTGAGAATATTCAACAAAAATTTTAGTAATTTTATCTTTAGGGATTGAATAAAATAATTCATGTAATTGTTGAATTGATGAAAGAATTATTTCTTTTAATAAATCTCCATTTGGCTGTAGAATAGAAGAATAATAGATTATTTTTTTATAACTATCTCCATCTCTTAATGAAGCAGCAATTAAATATCCAATACATTTAACTATATCTTTACAAAGTGTTTGTTGCTCTTTATTTAATTGAGCATCACCAATATATTTTTTATTTCTAAGAACAAGAACACTTAATAAACTCTTTACTAGTTCATTACTTTGAATAATAGATTGTCTTATTGAACGGTATTGATGAAATATATCAATAAATGTTAAAATAATGAATTCTGAATTTAAAATTCGTTGTTTATCAAATTCAATTAATAAAGACGACCTAACTATTTCATTTAATAATAACATGTATCGAGGGCATAATGGACGTTGAACTATATTAACTGTTGTAAAAAGTTCTGAAATAACTGGATTAGTATGTAATAAAAGAGCGAATAAAGCATATATAGATTCTTTTGAAGAAGTAAATACATAAACTACTCGTAGTAATTGATCTAAATCTGAATAAAAATCATCAGAAAATGATTGAGATAAAAATGAAAGATTTGCTGCAAGATGAAGTAATGGTGGTGCAAGTGATTCTGGAGGTTTAGAAACACTAACAAACTGATAAATAAAATTAGAAGATAACCCAGGAAGAATTCCTTTTACAGAAACTATTTGATCTAATAATGTTAATAATTGAGTACATCTAAAAGCACACCAAGAACGATGAAAGTCTGAATCTGATTTATCAAAAACTTGAAGAAAGTATGAAGCAAATGATGTTACAACGGAAACTTCTTCTTTACTACAATTTACTGAAAGGATACAAATTAATAACTGAGTTACACAATTAATTACTGAACTTTCTGTATTTTCATCAATGAAAAGAACCATTAATTTTCTCATTAATCCAACTCCTCTTAATGACTCTGACGCAGAAACAGGAGAAAATTCATAAACTGATTTTAGTGTTTTTAATACATATTCAATTCCATTTGGACATGAGCTTAAAAGGTCAAAATCAAGTACTAAAGTAGTTAATATTTCTGGATGTGTTACACAGAAGTCAGAGTCACTTGTTTTAATTCCAGATAGTGCTAATAATACTTGTAAAACTCCATGTGATATTAATTGTTTCTTTGAATGTAAAATAAGAACTAGAATATCAAATGAATTCGTTTTAACAGCTTCAGCATAAAGTTCTGATGAACCTCGTAAACAAAACATTAACACTTGCAATGAGTCACATAACTCTGATGTTGAAGAAGATTTTTCTATTAATGATAATAATAACGCTATTCCCCCACATCTACAAATACATGTAACAAAAGGAGAAGGTGATGTTGGGCAAACTCTTCCTTCCACAACTAAATCTGTTCTTGATACATCATTGATAAGATCAGTCATAACATAAATAATATCATCTCTTTGAATAGAAATAGAAGGATTAATAATACTTGTTGGCCCTCTCAAACTTATTGATTCATTATAACATGAAGCACAATACCTTCCTTTATATTGTGGACCTAATTGATACATTGTTTTTATGTCATTCGCTGTTCTTGTTCCATTAATAATCATTAATTCTCCGACACTAAAAGAATATGAATGAATTGAATGACCATTATGACCAACAGTGACAGTATAACTTCCTTGTAGAATATTAATACTTGACTTTGACTCATTAATGAAATTTCCATTAACAAAACACAAAACCGGTTGATTTGGATATAGACAAATAGCTAAATGAAACCATGTTCCTAATGGAACATTTATGAAACTTAGTCTCGTATTCTCATTAAAAATTTCCATTATTCCAGTGTTTATAGAAATAGATATTCCACCAGAACTTCTAACTGGAATAATTTCAACTATATTATATATCCCACCACAGAGTCTAAACCATCCTGTAATTAATAATGGAATATTATCCAACCATATATAATTTTTTATATATGATACTTTATCAGAAGTATCGAAAGTTAATCCACCTACTGTATCTCCACTCACCATAGAAGTGAGTATTGATAATAAATTACTATTAAGACATTCTCCTTTTAAAGCTTTAATAAGTTTTTTACAACTTTTAGGTTTAATAGAATATCTTCCTATTTTTTCAATCAATTGAACGAATAAAGGATCATTTAAAGCATTAGAAAAACATAATAGAATTGTTTCTAAAACATTTGACTGGTAAGCACCGAATAATTCCATTGTACTTCCAAAAGAGTTTGTAAGAATTTTAAAAAGATAATTTCTGTGTTTTTCTTCAAGACTTTTTGAGAAACGTAATAATGAAGGAAGTAAATAAGAGTTGATAATATTTACTTTAATTGTTTCTCCTATAAATATTGATTTAATTTTATTTGTTGGCTGTTCTGTAATAAGAGCTAGTATGTGAGAACAGACAATAATTGGTTCTGTTTCTTTCCATGGATTAAATTCTAAATAGTCATCAATAAATTTAACTGGAAATCCATTTTGCAAACGCATTCTATTTGTTGTTGATTCTTGTAAAGTACAAACATATGAATCTACACATGACGTTATGATATTCATTCGTTGAACTAATGTTTTACTTCGAGTTGGGGTATTTAATGGTTGAGAATATCCCCAACGTTCAATAAATTTACGTAATAACTCAAAACAATTACAAACACCAAACATTTCTCTTGCGATTGGGGATTGGTCCATTAAAGAAATAGCAGAAGAAAGACGTGAAATTGGGTCAATGTCATTCAATATTTCATCAATCATTAATGTGGAAATAAGTGCTGCTTGATCTGTTGGAACTAAAGCAATAACTTCTTTGATTATAGATGTAATTTCATTCCGATATTGAGGTTTATTATTAAACAACTGAACAAGCTTTTCTATTATTGAACTTTCTCTCATAAATAATGCAGTATTTTCTTTATTCCCAGATAATAAAATACAAATAACCCGTGTAACACATTCAACAATATTAGAGGTATCTTCAGTAGTTGTAGAAGTATCTAATAATACTTGAACTAAAGGAATTAATAAAGGGCTTAGTGAAGATTGATATAATGAACGATGACTTCCAATTAATTTAATAATAAAAGAAATAAAAGGAGGCATAATAGATGTATGAAGAAAATTAGACAATGAAATAAATTGAATAAACACATCAACAAAAGGAGATAAATCACGATGGTACGTATTTAATAACTTTTCTAACATTTGAAACACTAATTCGATTTCAATACTTTTAAATGATACTAACATTAAACAAATTGATTCTAAATAAGTCGGAAGAATATAATAATTCTCTGGATTACAAAATAAGATGAATTGAATTGATTGTAATGCGTATAATGTTAGTCTTGGACAAACAAGTAATTTCATTAATATTGAAGGTATTTCATAATTTTTAATTAATCCAACATTATTATTACTATTGTTAAAAGAAGGAGGAGTAGATGTAATAGAATAAACACCATTTCCATAAAAACAAAGATCTTGTAATGAAGTAACAATAGACAATTGTAAAGTATCAAAAAAAGAAGTATCATTAATTGATGTATTTAACATTTCAAAAGTAATAGGGGAAGTAATAATAATAACAATTCTATTAAAAAATAATGATTGAATATGAATATTTAATATTCTAGAATCAAAAGTACATGTTGTCTTAATAAATTTTAAATATGTATCAATCACTTTTAATGTATTTTCATTAAGTTTTGCATCTAACATAGTTTCAACTGTTTTATTTAATGCTTCTTTCATTGATCTACTAACATATAATTCTTGAAGAACTTTAGGATTCATTACTTTGCTAATCATTTCAAATACAGGAAGAAAAAGAGTTGCATATTCAATTTGTTTAAAATTAATTTGAATAAGTTCTTTTGGAATAATATTAAACTCAATTTTAGGAAATACATTTAATGCTAATTCAATAAGACATTCACATAATTTATTATCAACAATTATTCCATTAACAAGAATATAATAATAATGAGAATATGAATTAATAAATTCATCACTCATAAATTTGTATTGAGTACTTTCAAAAAATTGTTCATTTGATAAAATAACCATCCCCTTTAATACTGACTTCCCAGATGAATATTCTAGTACTGTTCCTTTATTAAATTGATTAAAAAAATTATCAATAAAAAGTGGTAATAATTGATTACTTTCACTATAATTCTTTAATCGATTTTCAATTACATTAACATTCTCTGGATCATTTATTCGTATAATATCAATATAATATCGTTTTAACTCGTCCATGTTAAAGTATCTTTTTTATGTTTTTTCTTTTTTATTTTTTCTGTTTTTTCATTAATAGAATTGTGTTATTCAGTCTTTTTTTTCTTAAAATTATTTTATTCTTTTTTTTTTTTGATAAAATAATTATCTTTTGAAATTTCTTTTTATTCAATATTATCTCTTTGAAATAATTCAATAACTTCATTTTTCCTGTTAAACAAACGAATAAAGTTGGATAAACACTCTTGAAAAGAAAAACTGTATTTCAACTATTTAAAAAGATTAAAATATTTAATTAGAACTATTTAGAAACAAAATTAATGACGTGTCAATGACTATTTAAACTGAGATAACAGTAAAAAAAATAATTATTGAACTCTTTGTTTAAGTAAGACTTTATCAGTTCTTTCTTTAAAGAGGGTTCAAAGAAGTAAAAGGAAGTTGCTTTTGTTCAATATTATTGTTGTTTCAAAACACACTTCCAAATATTCTATCATCATTAAAAAAACTTTATTATATTTATTTTTTTTTTGTTATATTTCTCATAAATTAAAAGGAACAATAAAAAACTTGAAAAAAACATTTAAAGAGGAAAGAAAATGTCAAAACAACCAAGAATGTCTGCCCAACAAGAAATGGAATTAAATGACTACATGAGAGAAGAGAATGATTTTTTTATTGACAACGAAAAGAAAAGACAAGAACAAATCATAAAAAAACAAGATGAACAATTAAATAAGTTGAGTGAAAATATTAATACAGTCCATGAAGTTAGTTTAATTATTAATGATGAAATTTCTCAACAAGACCAAATTATTAATGAGGTTGCTGATAAAGTTGATCATACTGATTCAAGAATTGTTTCAACCAGAAAAAAAATTGACCAAGTTATAGAAAAGAGTAGTAGTTTGTTTATTTTATATATCTTTTCAAATACTAAAATATCCTAAACTATTAGATTGGAAAATAGGACTTGTTATTGGTGTCTTAATAGTTGTTCTCATTATTATTATTATTCTCATTTTCGTCTTATAATTGAAGAATTGGAAAGTAAAATAAAAACTTTTTTAAATTCAATAGTTAAAAATTGATATATAAAACAAAAGTTTATTTTTATTTCATTATTTTGTTTTTATTTAAAACAATATTGAACAAAACAAAACATCAATGAAGTTAATTTGTTACAACATAACCAATTCCTATTGGAGCAGTTTCTTGAGAAGATAAAGAAACTGAGGTTGCATAAGTAAAAAACACTATCTCTTCTCTATCTATCTTTTCTTTTACATCTTTCATTATTTGGTAATGTCTTTGAGGTGGTTGGTGATAAACTTCTAAAAACTGATTAAGATGAATATGAGTAAAAACACCGTCTCGAGGAAGAAGAATAACTATCATAAATAAAGAACTCATCAAAAGGAGTATTTCAAAAACAAAAACAGAGATATATGGAGAATTAGAAAATGAAACTTCTTGAGTAAAGTCATATAAAGTACAAATAACAAGACGAACAAATACTAGAAAATAACAAAACTGAAGAATTTGAATCTTTTTTTTAAGTACTTCAATAAACTCAACAGGTACTTCTTCTGAAAGAATTTGCATTGTAATAAAATGTCTATTTAAAGCCACAAACCTTCCTGTTATTGGAAGAATAAAAAATATTCCAACTAAAGAAACCATTAAACGAATATCTTTAAAGATATGAGAACCAAAAGAAATGAATAAATAAACTAACAAAATAATGACAAATGGTTGTGTTTGTTGACGGAAAAAATGACTATAAACAATACTATATCCTAATGTTAAAATACTACATAAAACAATTGGAAGATAATCTGACATTGAACGGAATAAAGATGAAACATAAAACAAAAAGAGGGATGGTTGTCCTGACTTTGAATAATCACGATAATAACTACTCTCAAATAAACAATGTAACACAAAGACAATTTGTATAACTAAAACCATACGATGAATTTGTTTTATATGTCTTTTATTAAAAATACAATAAATAATATAACTTATCATTATAAATGAATATACTCCCATTAATATTAAATACACTTCTGGAGAATAAACTTGACTTATTGGTAATTCACTTTTACCATTTTTAATATGAATTGTATATTGAAATTTAAATGGAAATGTTGTATTACATGCTAAAAGAGCAAAGTCATAAACACTTGCATTTAAATAATGATAAGATGAGTCATTAAATACATCTAATTGTTATTTTCATTTCTTTTTTATCATTTCTTCTTATTAATGACAAACACGTTTCACAAATTTTTTCTAATCTTTCACATTTTTCTCTATCACTTGCTGTTGGTGGGGCTGTATAATCTCTTCCTCGTTGACATACAGCAAGTGTTATTCTATCATTAAATTCAGGTGTCATAGTTGTAATATCAAATTTACCTTCTTTTCCAATAGAAAATGAAAATAAATAATTTCTTGTTGTTTTAATTGTAATTGTATCACTTTGATAATAACCAAAACAAGTGGTGAAGATGATCCATAAGAGCATTCTTAATTTCATCTTTTAAGTTCTTTTCTTTTTTAGTTAAATTAAATAATAAATTTCATTAGTTTTTTTTTAATAAAAGAGATATTCATGTTATATAAAACAAAATAAATGAAAGGAAATGAATTACTTTTCTTCATTTGGTGTTTCAATGAAATTCAATACAGTTTCTTCAATAGATTTTATGAACATTGCAAAATTAAAATAGTCTTTTCTTGCAATGGCGATTTCTTTAGATGTATTATCTTCGAATTCATCCAATACCATTTTACAAAGATTTGATAGTTTACAAACAATATCAAATAATTCTTTTATTAATGTTTTATCTTGACTCATAAGAGTTTTATCTAAGAATACTTGAGTTGTAGTTAATAATCCACTATATGGAGTTGGTGCAAGTATATATCTTAAAATAGGAATAATATCTTCTCTAAAACCAGAATCAAATACAGATTCTAATGCTTCATATAATTTAAACATATCACCAACAGTTTTTTCACATGGAGATAACACATTAGTAAATTTACTAATAACATGAGAACGAGATAACAATGATGGTAATTTTCTTTCAGTTTGATATTCTACATGAATCGAGATAGAATCTTCAATGCTTGTTTTAATTTGGTCATTTTCTAACATAAACTTATCTGTTGGAATAAGTATAGCTTGTTGTTGTCTTATAACTTGATTATTAACAATTGGATATACTTCCCAAACAGTAATTCCAACATTTCTATTAACTAAATGAATATATTGTTCAAAGGCTGATCTTGTTTTAGTAGAACAATAAATATATTCATTGTCGTTTGTTCCATTTGAAGAATTGCAAATAATTACACAATAATAATGTAATTCAATTCCTTTACCAACAGTTCCCATTTGTTCATATAATTTTTCTATTCTTGAATGAATACTAACTATTTGATTTAAATCGTTCATATTTTGGAAATGTGCTAATAAAAATTCACATACTCGTACTGCATGTGAAAAGAGTTTTCCTTCTTCAAATGCTTCAATAGCCATTAATGCGTGATGAATTAATTTATCATTAGTAAATGCTGAAACCATTCCATTAGATATTTTTGAAGGTTCATATAATAAAAAGTCAGGTGCAATATTAGTTAACATTTCTTCATAATTTCCTACAACATTATCACCATATAATGACTTAAATAAATAATAAACAATAGCAACTTCACATAATCCTTCTTCAATATTTAATTCAGCAATTTTTAATTTATGTGACAACTCACACATCCATGTAAAATGAAGTTGTGGTGATCCAATAGCTTCTATAGCAAGAGAATACACTTTTTCATGAATTTCTTCTGGTTCTGTTTTACGTTCATGACTTTCCAATAATTGAGTTAATCTATTACATAAGTCTTTAATTCCTTCTATCATATTTTCAAATTCTCTATGAAATTCTCTTTGTTGCATTGGTGAAACATCAAGTAATGCTTCTCTTCTAAATTTTCCATTACAATCAAGAAATTGGAATATCTCTTTCTTTTTCGTAGTTATTTTAATTGTTCCAACTTTTTTAGTTTTTTCTTTCTTTAATAATTCTTCTTTCTTTTCATCTACTTTATTTTCTTTATTAACAAGTCCTTTCTCATTTGTTTTATTCCAAATTTCATTTAAACTCATTTCTTTTCCGTTATAATTAACATATTTATTAATCCAACTTATTCTTTTCTTAATAATCTCTTGAATTTTACTATAATTTGATCTTGCACTCTTTAATGTTTTAAAATCGACTTTTACTGCCTTTAATGCTTCATTACAATCTCTATAAAATTCTTCAATACTATTCTTATAATTGTTACGTTCTTGTTCTCGTTCTTTCTCTTTCTCTTTTTTCATTTTCATTTCTTTATCAAATTCTTCTAATTGTCTCATAAAATCTTCACCAATTTCATTAATTTCTCCAAGTATTTCATATGTATATGGTGTTTCTCTTTCAATAAACCCAAACACTTTTTCTGTATTATTTCCTTCTTTTGTTTTTCTTTTATTCATTTCAACTGAACTTTTTCTTCTTCTTTTTTCTTTTCTTTCTTCTTTTGTTTTAAGTATTTTATCTAATTCATTTGTTTCTTTATTAATAGTTTCTATAAGTCCTTTTATTTCATTTTCTTCTTTAATAAGTCCTTCAGTAACACCAACAACAGTTTCAAAAAATTCATGACTTTCAGGTAATTCTAACTTTAATGTAGCTTTACTACTAAGATAAAATTCTTGTACTTTTAAGACATTTTTAGCAAATGAATTTTCTTTTTGATACCATTCTCTTGCTTTATTAAAATTTTCATCAAATATCTTTTTCTTCAATACACAATTCTTTAAATGAACCACAAGATTTTGTGACATTTGAATAATTCTTTCCCAATAATTATAATATGTTTCCCATGGTGCTGTAGCTGTAATAATTTCTCCACTCTTCTCTCCTCTTCTTCTACATAATTCAATTGATTGTTCATTAAGAATTTGAAGTTCAACAAATCTTCTTGTGAAATATTCAGCACTAACTGGTCCTTCACAAAATTCATTCATAATAGCAGCATGTTGTTGACAAACTAACTTTTCATTTTCTGCTATAATTTTATCAATTTCAGCTTTTCTTTCTTGATAATTTTGTCTAACATCTAATACATCAATAATTCCTTGTAACTGTGATTCTACCATTGCTACAACATCTTGAATTAATTGTTTTAAATCATTACTCTCAACACAAATTAATGAATCAACTTCTTTTTTATCAGTAATTTTTCTTAACTCATTTTCGATATTACATGCTTCATTTAATAATTCATTACCTTCTTTAGTAATAGAATTTAATTTTACTGTCAACGACTCTTTCTTTTCTAACAAATCCACATCTCCAATACCATCACCAAAGACATTTTTAACTTTTAATTCTTGTTTGACCCAATCAAATATTTTTTCATTAATTTCTTCGTATTTCTGAACTTGAACACCAATTTTTTCTTCTTTTTCTTGTTGTTTTCTACTTTCTTTTAAACAACGTCTATAATTATTCATAAATTCAATAAACATTTCATCTAATTTTTGATAAGAGGTATAAAGAGGTTCATACAAATTAGTTCCTGTATATCTACTTTTAATTAATCGTTGAATGGCAATAGAATCTTCTTCTTTAAATCTAAGATTTTGGAAATACATTTTTGAAACATCTTTTCTTATTTCATTATAACAATCAATATAACTACATTCTAAATGTTCAAATTCTTTAATTTGATTTAATTTAGGTTTTATTAATTCACATAAATATGAAATAAATTCTTCAATTGCAGCTGCATCTAATCCAATACAGAGTTGTTGTACTCTAACAGCAGCATTATTGTCATTATGTATTTCATTATATGATTTTTCCATTGCAGTTTCCATTTCTTTTTGTGCCCATTCTCTATCTTCTTCATGAATTTGTTTCATTTCATCTAATCCATTAAGGAATGTACTAAATTGAATTAATTGATTTTGTGCAGTGGATGATAATGATTTAGAAACAAGAGCAGATGATATATGAGACTCACTTAATGCAGCATCGTATGTAGTAATATAATTACATTTAGTAAAAAGATACATTAAAGTAATAGCATCTAACCTTTTTCTATTTTCTTTAGAATAAAAATATTCTAATAATTGTTTAACAACGTTTAATGAAATTTCAATACTACGTGTAAATAAACTTACTCTAAATCTAACAATAAAATCTCTTAAATAAGAACAAATGTCTGTTGACATTGATGAATTTTCTATAAGAATCTTTAATATTGCTTCTATTTTACTATTAATTTCATTTTCATTTATTTTCTCTTTTTCAATAAATATATCATAAACTATTTCTATTACATCCATTATTGTTAATAAACAATCTTTCATTACAACTTGAAGTTCCATTTTTCTTGTTACTTGATCAACTTCTGGTTTTTTATCTTTAATAATTTTACGTGGAGAAAGTATTTTCTTTTCACCAAATAAAGGAATTGAACTTTCTTTTTTATCTTCGTCACCAAATATTCTTGGTGATAATGCTCTTCTAAAAATATCTGTTTTAATAGACTTTTTATCTCCTCCACCTCCAGCACTTTCTCCAACAGCTGAAGAATCTGGTTCATCTTTTTTATTTCCAATTATTGTTTTAGAGTCACCTCTTTTGCTTGAAGATGAAGAAGATGATGATGAACCAACAAAAGTATCTTTAATAGTTTTACCAAAAGAAATAAATGATGGTCGTTTCGGTGCACCACCACCAACTGAAGTTTTAATAAATGGCTTTTGATTAAGTTTCATTGTCTGAGAACGAGCAACTTGTTCAACTGGAAAAGTACCAATTTTTGTTGACCTTTCCATTGTAAAGAAAACTTCATTAGCATTTTGTGGCATATCGAAAAAACTAATTAATACTTGTCTTCTTGTTTCTCTAAAAGATTCAATAGGTGTAAGATAAGTAGGAATAGGAATACTAATAACTTTTAAAGCCCATTCTATTTGAGTCATTAACATAGAACATCGAATTGGGACTTCTTTTTCCAAATAAGTTCGTAGAGTACTTGTTTTAAGATTCTTCATTACAAACATAAAACACAATACAAATGATTGTAATGTAAATAATAAATGTTTATCTTCAAGAGTTTCTAAATTAATAGAATGCCATTTCTTAAAGAATTCATATTCTTCAATCATATAAATAACTATAGGCATCATCATTGTAGCTAACTTTTCTTTGTTTTCTTGACTTTGGATAGAACTATCACAGTCAAATCTCATTACCAATAATGATAATCCAAATACTCCTAATTTTTGAAGCATTCCTCCTCTAATAATTAACATCATATAATTTCTAATCATTAAACTTAATATTGTTTGTTGTGCAAAACATAATTCTTCAAATGTTTCTTTTGATTCAACACTATTAGCTCTAAATAAAATAGAAGAATCTCTAAAAACATTAAGAAAATCAACTCTAAGTACTTGAGTAGCTATTTCTTCATTATTTCCTCTCTCTAGTTTTTGAGTTCCAATAATATCCATCTTTCCACCAAAAGCATACCAATCCATAACCATATCTATAAGTCCAACAACATAAGTTAATTTCCAAAACCTCATTAAATCTCTAATAAAATTAGCTAAAAACAAATTTGCTTTTATTCTTTCAAACCCATTTTTTAATTTCATTAATTGACGTAAATAAGTTTGAACAAGTTCTATCACTGATTTTTCAAATCTTAGTCCAACTGCTGAACCATAAATTGATTCTGGAAGATTTCCTTTATTAATTTCATCATTTAAATAATAAACTAATGACCTTATAATTAAATCAAAGAAGAACCATGAGTATTTAACAATGACCATTGGATTAAATTGAACTTCATTATCATTCATTAGTCCTACAAAGTCTCCAAGAATTAATAAAAAAACATATTTGTAATGTGAATAAAATTTAAGAAATGTTTGTGGATCAAAGAAGTCATTAATATACTCTAGTAATGAATGTTCTTTAATTTCATTATTTGGCTGTAAGACTGAATGGAAGAAAATAACAAAATTCATAAATTTATTTTGTCCTACAACACCTCCAATCATCCAATTTAAAACAGTTGGAAAATATATTCTAAGAAATGAATTTTGAGAACCAAATGATATTTTTCCAATTTTCTCAACAATATTCATAACATTATCTGCTCCAACAGTTTCTCCAAGTGTTTGGATTTCTTTCATTGTAGGAACTAGTGAAACTAAATTAACAACTTTAATCTTTAAAGTTCCTCTTGAATCTCCTGGTTTAGTAAGATATTCATTTGATGGTTTAATAAGATCAATAACAATTTCTGTTGTTTGAGGTAATACTGGTCTTAACACTCCATAACATCTACATTCTACTTTACTACCATCTAATTGCATTTCCATAACTTTAATAAGAATATGCCAATTTGAATTGCTATCAAACACCTCTTTCTGTTTAGGCATTTTAATTTTAATTTCATCATTAAATTTAATACTTTTATTACTACCTTTAACAGCTGTTTCTCTTTTTTTACAAAACCCACCAGTTACATTATCTCCATAGAAACATTCAACACAATTATTTTCATTTTCTTCTGCCTCATTTGTTTTCATTACAAATTCTAAATACAAACAAGTTTTTCTTTTTTCTTTAAATACCAAATCCTTTGGATATAAATAAAAGTTCATTGAATATTCTGTTATTGCAGTAGATGCAACAAATGGATAACTAACATCTTCTAATAAATATAATTTTGGTGCATCTGATATTTGGTCTGTTAACTCATTTCCATTTGCATCAATAATATTAAACTCATCCATTCTTTGTGCGCTTCCACCTTTTCCATTAGAAAATGCTTCTCTAAGTCTATCAATTTTTAAAGCCCAACTCATTTGAGTAGCTTTAGGTTCTTTTCCTGAGTCAATATCATTAATTAATTTTAATACATCTTTAAATTCATCATCTCTATAAATCTTTAATTTAAACTCAGTTAGAGGTTTAATAATTGGTCCTTTTTTCTCTTTTATTTCAATAGGAAGTTTAAATGCTCCAATTCCAATTAAAGAACGATGGTTAATAATATTAATATTTTGTTTTAATGCTTCTAACTTCTTTCCTTTTGGCAATTCTTCTCCACAATAAATATCTCTCATTGTATTTTGTTTAGCATCAGCATTTCTATAAACAAATAAAATTGCCCATAAACTATTATCTTTATCACCTGCAACTGCAGAATTAATTTCTATAGCAATTGGTGTATGATTTATTGATGGATCAAAATGAAAATCCGAAGTTACTTTTTCAATAAGTTTATTTTTTGTGTAAATAGCAAATACACAATGAAATTTTTCTTTTATTGGACATTCTAATCTAAAGTTATGAATTAAAACAGTATAAAAGTTTCTTTTTAATTTTGCATTAGTAATTGCTTCATCGTCATTTCCTAACATTACCTCTAATGTATCGTCTAATGTAACATCTGAATAATTTTTTAATAATGTAGGCCATTGTTTTCTTCTTGTTCCTTCATTTTCACCAGCAACTGTAGATTTAAGTGAAATATTAACTTGAGCAATTTCATCATTACCTTTATTAATTATATCAATAATTTTTCTTGTTTGATCATCCAGGTCCATTGAAACAAAATGAAGTTTAGAAGGAGGAACAATACTCATAGGGGGATAAAATATTTGTTGAGCAATTGCTTCTTGAGAACTTATTTTTCTTTTAGGGTCAAGTGTTTTCTTTTCTTTAATTTCTTCAGTAACAAATCCATTTTCAAAAATAGGAGGCTCAACAATAGTACGTGGTTTTCTATTTGAAGGGACTAATTGTGGAAGAAAATCTTTATAATGTTTTGGGTCATTTTTTCTTAGTTGTGCAAAACATTCTTGATATTTATTATCTGATATCTTATTTTGATTTAATTCTTCCATCTTAGCATCGATAATAGTATTAAATCCAATAAAGTCTTTTCTCTGAATTTTTGTTGAAGTAATACTCATTACTTTTTCACTGATTAATTGTTTAACAATGAAATCAGGTAAAGTTAAGTTATGTGTCTTTTCAAGGTAATGAGAGATTTGATATGAATCTAATTCTCCTCTTCCTTCAGTATCATATTTATCAAATAAATTTAATAGCCGTTCTTCTTCTTCTTTTTTTTGTTGTTTTTTACTTTGTGTTGGCAATTCTTCTTGTCTTTTATCTTGTGTATTTCTTCGTACTAATTTCATCACACAATAATTTTAAGTTTTTTTATTCTATTTTTCAGTTTTATTTTTTATTTTTTTCTTCCAAAATTTAAAATATCTGTATTTTTCTGTGTTATATATCATTTTTATATTGTAAAAAAAGTTCATTAGTGTAAAAATATTCAATTCAAGTATTTCGTAAATTGAGAATTATCGAAATAACTCCTTTTCTTCTTAATATTGGAGTAATTTACAAAAAAAAACCATGACAATAAGCATTAAAACAATAAAATTAATTAATAAACGATTGAAGAGTAGAATCATTTTTTGATAAAAATAACAAATCATTAGAAGATAATTCTGAATGCATCCATTCATTAATTTCAATACCTTTTTGTACAATGTCATGTAATCCAAATAAATGTTTTCCTTCTTTAAAAATATCAGTAAATGTTTCAGTTTTATTACTATGATTTTTACCAGAAGAATAATAACTATTGTAAAAATACCCATGAAGACGAAGCAAATCCATTAAATAATGATGGGCTTCAGATATTTTATTATTTGTAAACCGCCTATAAGCAGTTTTTTCACTTATTCCATTATGTTCATCAAAATACATTTTACATTTGCAAATATCTTCCACAGTTTTAGTAAAATCAATTGTATCATTTCCATCTCCAATAGCAACAACCCGAACAAGGTTTGCTGTTTTAGATGATTTTTTTCTTGGTAGTTTAACTTGAATTTCATAATATTTATTTAAAAGAGCAATTAGTAATCCTTGTTCTTCAACCATATAATTTTTTGTTTCAATATATCTTTCAGCAAGTCTTTCAGAATCAGAAAGCTTAACACTCATTACAACAAATGATTAATCTAGTTCTTTGTTAGTTTTTATATCAATAGATTCCCTTCATAATTATCATTAACCTTGTTTTCCTATCTAAAAATAGTAATCTCTCAAGGAAGGAAGTTAAAATTGAACTAAACAAAAGAAATTTTAGTTGGTTACGTGTATTTGGTAGTATGTTGTTAGTTTTTAAAAAGAAAATGAAAAAAATGTACATTATTGAACATTTATTACAATCGCGTATTGAAAAACTATTTAAAAATATAAAAATGATTTTATTTCATTGAATCTATTATAGCATCAAAACTATATGGTGCTGGGTCAATTTTACCATTCATAACACATAATACAGTCATATTTTCTCCAAATGGTAAATCAGATAATAATTTAGGAGTAACTAAGAAATATTGTTGTGCATTTTCTTTATTAACTGCTTTAACTATTTGTGAAAAAATCATTCTTTCATTTAATGGATCCATTCCTTGATTTATTTCATCAACTAATCTAAATGGACAAAATGTTTGTTCTTGTAAACTTAATAAATATAACATCGTTGCAACACTTCTTTCTCCTCCTGACTGTGTATGTGCATTTAATTGTTGTAAACTTCCTTCTTTTCTGAACATTGTTTTAATAATAATTCCATATTTATCATATTCTTCTTTTTCATCTAATTCTACACTTCCTCTACAATTAATTTGATTCATATACACACTAAATGATTCATTAATATGTTCAATTACTTCTTTAACTTTATTTAACCATTCATCTTTAATTCCTGTCATAACTTCTTCTGCATTTTTAATTTCTTCATTTACTATTTGTGCATCTTCAAGTTTTTTACTTAATTCATTCTTTGCTTGTTGGTATAATTCTTCTACATTTTCTTCTACATTTTGTCTATATTTTAATTTACTTTCTTCATTTTCTATTTCTTCTTCAATAGCACTAACTTCATCTGGTAATTGTTGAAATATATCATTAAGTTCATTAGTAATTATACATACTGCTTCAGCTTCTTTTCTTTTTTTAACTGCTTCATTTTTTGCATCATCATATAATTGTCCAATTCTTCTAAATTCATTTTCTAATTCAGATAATCTTCTTTTAAATTCATTTAATTGATTTTTACATTTCATTTGTTTAATTCTTAATATTCTAACAATACAACTCACTGGATTTGTTTCCATTTTTGCCTCAATAAATCTCTTTAATAAATCTCCCATTTTTAACATTTGTTCATTAATTTTTGTTTGTATTTTTTTAATTCCTTTTTGTAAATCTCCTATCTTTTTATCAAGATCTTCATCGTTTTCAAATAATTTTAAATTATTCTCTTTACTTCTCTTTGACCTTATTAATTTATCTCTTTCTCCTTTTGCTCTATTAAATTCTTCGATCCCTCTTCCTATTTCATGTTTTTTTTCTTCTAACATTTTTATTTCTTTTCTATTTTCTTCAATATTTCTTTTAACCACCTCAAGGTCTTGAGTAATTTTTTTAATTTCTTGTTCTAATTTTAATTTTTGATTTGTATCAATTGCTGTACTTAGAAATCTTGCTTTTCTTATACTATTCACTTTATCAGAAACTGCATCTGAATATCTTGACTTAACTTTATTTATTACACTAGATGGTGTAAAATATGTTCCAGGTGGTAGTCTTTCAATATATTGTTCTGTTTCTTTATTACATATAAATTTCTTACTTAATTGACACATATCCTCTACTACTTTTAATACTGCATCTGGTCCAATAACTGCTTTATCCATTGTTGTTAATACACCATATTCAGAATGAAGTCTTAATTGTGTAGCTTGTGTTCCAGTATTATCATGTTCTCTTTTAAAGACTTGTATTTGTGTTCCTTTTTCTTCAACAAGTTTACTAATTAAAGTATTTTCATCTTTCTTATTTGTAACAACAAACCCTTTTAATACAGATATTGGAACACACATTTCAACAAAATTTGTATATTCATCTTTTGAAACATTTAATTCTACACAAATTGGTCCATAAACTTCTTCTTCAAATAATCCTTTATGTTCTTGTAACCAACTGTATGCTTGCATTACTGCCGCATCATTATCAAATATTTTTCTTAATTTATTTTGTTTTAAATCATTTAACTTTGCTAAGTCTCTATTTAATTGTAATATTTTTCCATTCATTTCTCTTAGTTGAGTATCTAATGAAGCGTCTTTATCTTGTTTTTCATTAATTTGCTCTCTAAATCCTTTTAATTGAACTTGTTCTTCATTTGCTCTTTTTTCAAGTTCATCTAAATTTGGTATATCTTTAAGTTTTTGTTCAATAATAATAAGCTCATTTTTAAGTTCATTAATATTTCTATTCTTCTCTTCTTTTCTCTTTTTTGCTAATTCTACTTCTTTCTTTTTATTTGAAAGCTCTTGTTCTAATTTTTCTTTTTGAGTTTCTGCAATAATTATTTCTCGTTCATTTTTATCACATATTGTCTTTGTATCATTTACTTTCTTATCTTCACTTTCAATTTTATTTTTAATTTTATTAAATTCCATTGCAACTGGTGTCATTTCTTGATGTAATGAATCAAGTTTTTGTTGTAATTGTTGTTTTTCTTCTCTTAAACCAACAGCTTTTTTTCTAACTTCTTCAAACTCAGCCCATGGCTTTTTCATCTTTAATTGATTTAATCGTGTTTGTCTTCGTTCTTGTTCATGTTTCTCATGAACACTCTTTTCTAATCCATCTACTCGATATTTTAATTCTTGAATCCCTTTCTCTTGTTGTGCAGATTTTTTTCTTAATTCACCAATAGAACCTTGTGCCTTAATTATTTGGTCATGTTTTTCTTCAAGATCAGAAGTCCCTGTTGCTTTTTCTGTTTCTCTTAATAACTCTGCTGGATTAAGACTACTAAATGCAGAAACTCTATCTTGTGGAAGAAATTGACAAAGATTATCTATCATAATACAATATTCATTACATTTCTGTAAAACTTCTTTGTGACTTGCTGTTCTTCCATTAATAAACCAATTACTTTGATTATTTAAATTAAATTGTCTTCTAATAACTAAATTATTCGCTCGTGTTATTCCATTAAATAATTCTACTTCTATCACAGCATCTTCTTCTCCTATTTTTACAAAATCTTTTAAGTCTTTACTCCGACCAAGGACTTTTGGAGCTGTTCCTAGTCCTAATGCAATAGCACATACAATCGAAGATTTCCCTGCTCCATTAGGACCAATAATAACATTTAATCCTTTTCCTGGAAATACTTCAACTGAATCATAAGTAAGAAACCTTTCCATTTTAATACGAATGATTGATCCTCGGTGATATTGTGTTGTTTGTGTTGTATTTTGTCTTTTCATTTATTCCTTTAAGTTTTGAGGTTTTTATTCTCATTTTTAGGAAAGGGTTTTCCTAAAAAAATGAAAAATATAAATTATTAGATATATTCACAAATATGTGATATAAATACTAGGAATTAATTATTTTATGAATTGGTACTGTTTTTAATACCTTATTTAATTTATATATAAGCAACATCACTGCTCTGCAAATTTATAATTAAAAATGATTGTTTATAATTTTAATTATTTGATATTTTTACTTAGTCATTAATAATTTTCTTTATTTGAGTTAGTTGTTCTTTCTTTGTTGTGATGATTCTTGTTTGTTGGTTGTTTATAAGTACGTATTTATTATTAATAGTGTATTAAGTATTTCTTTAATATATAATGTCTCTTTGATTTAAATAAGTTTCTATTCAATTTAATTCTATTTAGTTTATGTTTTGAGTTAATTCACCGTTTCTTTCTTGTTAGTTCATAACATTATTAATAATACCATTTTTTTTAACCTTCATAGTTTGATAATAAAATGTTATAACACTTTTTGATAAAAAAGAGGTAATTAAGTATATTAACCAAATTTTGTTTATCTTATTTCTTGTTTTGTTCAGTTTAAATATGTCTTTATTGTTATTTAGTCATGACTCTATTTGGTTGTGATAAAAATTACCTTTCATAATATCAATCATCTTTTGAATTACAATATCTTTATTTTCTTCTGTCTGTTAATTTCAATTTTTTAATTCTTTAATTAACTTAATGCTCTCTGAGACTAGAAGATAGCATATTAGAAACACCACACAGACACTAAAATAAATCAAAACATTGAGTCATCAAATATCATATGG